ATCATCAGTTACAGTCGGGTGAGATGGCTTGTTGAAAATTAACTTGCAGGCTAAGGAAAAGAGAGAAAGAGGTAACTTCGCTGTATTAAGTCCCTCTTAGAGAGGATTAACTTTGGGATTGAGAGCCTTATCTCAATGCAATGCGAAGGATAAGGAAGTTACTTTCCTTGATGCAGGACAAAGACTACAGATCCTCTCCACCCTCATAAGGCTGAATTGCTAATGCTTCCCTATAATTGCTTGTAATAGAAGAGAGACACTGGTCATGCTGTGGAATATTTATAATGTGTTTTGTCAGTAAGAGAAATTGCCAGCATTGTCACAGAGTCTTGCAGATTAAATGCAATGATGTGTATTTGTTATCTCTACTGAACCACCCTTGCTTTTTCCACACACACATTATTTCTGTAACTTCCTGTCAGCCTTCTATCCCCTTTCCCTGTCTTTCTTGCAAGGCCACTAACACTTAACATCCATCAGGAAATAGAACTAGACCTGACCCATAGGATCAGGTATCCTATCCATGCTGTCTGCCCATACAGCCTTGTCTGTCTTCTAACCATCCAACATGTTGTGTTCTGGAACAAACGGGAGTGTGACAACCCCTAGACAAAGCTTGAATAAGGAGTTTGCAAGCCCTTAATTCCTCATTTCTTATATCATTCTTCATGCTGTATTCATCCTGCCCCTGACACTTGCTTTTGCAGAAATTCAAGCAGACTTATGTAAGTAGGCATGTGAGCCATAGCTGTGATTATGTAGCCCAACAGAGTTACTATCCTAGAATACTCTGAACTTCCTGAGAGCTTACGGAAATCTCTTTTGAGAGCCTGTTAATCAAATATTCTTGATGTTATTCACTAAAGAATCAGTAACTTTAGGGGAGGGCATGATTTAAAAAGTATGTTTGGGCAAGTGAAGTTATCCATGCAGCTATATTTGAAGTTGTAGGGTATGTCTAATTAAATGTCTTTATCATTTTACAGTGGGGATAGATACTCATTAAATGGTTTCGCTATTTTAACAGCGTTGAGAACTAACCTACATATTTTTTTAAAAAATATTGGCATACATATCTGAAGCATTATGTGTGTAGTTAAGGGTTTCTCATAAGCTCATACTGGCTTATACTAATTTTTTTTTTGCTTTCAATCTGCAACAGATGGGAAGCATGCAAGGAGTCAGTTTCCAGCTAAGATACAGCAATCTTAATTCAATCACTAATTTAATCACTCATTGCTCAGAAAGTCAGAAATCCAATGGTTGCCAAGTCATCTTAAAGTTACAGAGCCTCTGTTTCTAAAAATTATTCATCTGCTGTCATTAATATTTTCAAATTATTGCCCATTAAAAAATACCCATGAAATAATATTCTGTTACAATATTGACAGAATTATGGGGCAAGATGAAGTAAATTCAGGGGGAAACGAGAATATGGAGAAAATAAGCATTGCCTCAAGTGCAGTATTAAGTCCCACTATTTACACGACAGTGGGTTCCTGTATACATTTAAGTATAGATTTGTCCCCTGAGTTACATACTCCAGTTTTTGGAGGTGACTTAACATAAATTAGGAAATTAATCCTTATTTCTTTTGTTGTCTCAGAATTGTATTTGCAGAAGTTTGGTGTGTACTAAAAGTATGTAGAAAACTGATTCCTGAAATGTTTTGAGAAGTTATATTGTTCTTTGACAGTTTTGGTTATTGATTTTTCATCTGCATGGCTGCATTAACAACAACCAAATAATCATATGCAGTTTTGAACTTTAGCTGTCACAGATCTATTAGTGATATATGACTTTGACTTTTGGGGAATAAATACATTTTTAGCACAAACTTAGCATATGAATTTATACTAACATATTCAAAGGTATGAAACTGTTATCTCTTTTAGAAAATTGAAAATGGAAGATTTGCAAAACTGAGATATATAGCACATGCTATGGTCAACAGTACAGATCTGTTAATGGTTACAAAAAGGTAAACAGTTCTTACTCTGAATAATAAGTACTTAAAACTATCATCAAAATGTTCATACCTTGATGATTGCTGACTAGTAACTGTGCTGTCATGTATGTAGATAAAATAATTGGAAAGGCATGCTTAGTAGTGTGGCAGCAGTGGGATCAACAGTTAATGGGGTGGAGGGGGTGTTCAGCACATGAGTGTTGTTTTGGGTATCACAGTAATTTCTCTATTTAAGAAGAGAACCGGAATATTGGTCTTTAGCTGGGAAGAATTGTTAGAAATCTGAGTAGGCTGAAGTCAACAGAACTGTGAGATTCCCTTATAGATTAGTATATTGAAGGAAAAATGGATAATATAGGAACAGAGTAAATAATGTCTAGCAGTGGAGTAGCAGGCATTCTTCTCAAATAGGAACTCAGTGCATCTTTTCATAGAGATACAGCTAGAAGGAGTGTTACAGTTTTGCTATGAGATACGGTATTCTAAATAAGACTCAAAATTCACTCTTTTTAAAAGTAAGCTGTATGGTTGTTATGTATCATTAGATGAGAACTATTTTGGAACAACTAATGACTTCACCAGTTACTTGATAACTTTTTAAGTATTTTTACACTGATTTAAATATTATTAATTTCAATTTCTCATACATAGTGGTGTGTTATTTGTGACAAAAGGGACATTTGGACAGCTGACATGTGAATGGCAATACACTTACGATGAATTTACGAAAGAACCATTCATTGTCGATGGCAGAAGATTACGCATTGAAGCCAAGGTATGTGAACTTAATGTTTTGGTTTCTTTTTGTCTTACTGTTTATAGAATTGAACTCGGAATTCTTGATCTTTCGCCTTTGAATTCTTGATCTCTCTTCTAGTTAAAATGCTCAAAGAAGGGAGTTGAAATTTGTCATGAGCAAACCTCCTATAACTAGCTTCTGACTGTTCTAAGCAGAATTGTGACATGATGTTTGCAGATGAAAGTATTCCTTGAACGCTGGGAATTTTTTTTTTATGTTACACATTACTTCATGGTGCGTTCATAGTTGTAAAATGGTGATACAACAAAACTCGCAGAACACTGCAGGGTATTTTTATTATGCACTCTGTCACTGTGGAAATACGCCAACGTTAGCCTCCTACCTTGTGGTAATCCCAAAATTTCAAATATATTTGAGCAATACATTTTCATGTACTGTGCTTCAAAGAGGGTTTTTTTTTTTTTTTTTCATTTGCTAGTGTCATTGTTTAAAACCAGTCAGTCAGCTCGTTCACTTACTCCCCCCGCTTCTTTCCCTCCCCCTGCTGCCGGAGGGACGGAGAGGAGAATCAAAAAGAAAGCAACTCCTACGGGTTGAGATAAGAACAGTTTAGTAACTAAGGTATAACACAAATCACTACTGCTACCACCAATAATAATAATGATAAAAGAAACAACAAGGGAAGAGAATACAATACCTCACCACCAGCTGACCGATAACTTGGCCCCCCAACCCAGCCAAGCACCGACTGATACCTCCTCCAACCCTGCAGACTCCCAGCCCTTCCAGCTAACTCCCAGTTACATCCTGGGCATGCCATGCTGTGGTATGGAATACCTCTTTGGCTAGTTTGGGTCAGGTGTCCTGCCTCTGCTTCCTCCCAGCTTCCCCTCCTCCCTGCCAGAGCATGAGCCTCACAAAGTCCTTGGCCAAACCAAACCATCATTGTTATCAGCTCTGTTCCCAGGCCGAAAGTCAAAACACAGCACTGCACCAGCTACCAAGAAGGAGAAAAATGACTGCTACTGCTGAACCCAGGACATTATCCACCCCATATTCCATACCATTCACGTCATGCTCAGATCCCACATTTTCAATATATCATCACTCTTATCTTAGTGCATGGACCAGTCCCTATAAAGCTGCTGAGTCCATCTGGTCCATGATGTCAGGTTCCATCTCTTGTAACAATCGTTCAGGGCAGGAAAGGCTGTATTGGATCGTTGGATCATTGCCTGCTGATGCTGATCGTTCCTTTACTGCAGAACTTGTCCGGTTCTATCAAAGTTCATTCTCTGTTGGGATGATGGTTGGAGGGAAGTCAGGGCCAGTCGCTGGTGACCTGGAGACATCTAGTTGATGGGCTATAAAAGTGTTACACAGCAGGCAACAGCATACAATTGAGGTCACTGGCTGTTTTCTCCTAAAATCAAATCCCCTTGAGGTATACATCGGACTTCCCCATCTTCCCGCATTACCCACCAAGTATATCCAGGTCCCTGAGCAAAAGCAATCTCACGAGTGGGTTTGCCTTTACTTGAAGCAGGAATAACCCAGACTGTCTTCCCCAGCAAATTCTTCATATGCACCACGGGAACTTTGTCCCCCTCTACAATATGTAAAAGTTCTGACTGGGCTGGGCCGGCCCTGTTGGCAGATCCTCTGGTGTTGACCATCCAGGTGGCCTTTCATAAGTGTGTATCCCAATGCTTGAAAGTTCCCCTTCCCATTGCTCTCAGTGTAGTTTTTAACAGCCCATTGTACCGTTCGATTTTCCCAGAGGCTGGTGCATGGTAGGGGATGTGATATACCCACTCAATGCCATGCTCTTTGGCCCAAATATCTATAAGGTTATTTCGGAAATGAGTCCCATTGTCTGATTCAGTTCTCTCTGGGGTGCCGTGTCACCACAAAATCTGTTTCTCAAGGCCCAGGATAGTGTTCCGGGCAGTGGCATGGGGCACAGTATATGTTTCCAACCATCTGGTGGTTGCTTCCACCATGGTAAGCACATGGCGCTTGCTTTGGCGAGTTGGTGGCAGTGTGATATAGTCAATCTGCCAGGCCTCCCCATATTTATACTTCAACCATCGTCCTCCATACCAAAGAGGCTTTAGCAGAATTGCTGCACTTCAACATAAAATAGCTGTCTATTCTCCTGTTAAAAATACTCAGGTAGGAGAGATTTAACAAAACAAAGCCACAAACAGTTTTCTCTGAGACAAACCCAGGACACTAGTAACAAAATTCTGCAAAAGTACAATAAAGTATTAATATCTTTATAAATATGCTTATCTCTTTCAATGCAAATTGAAGTATGTTGCTCTCAGTTGCAGTTTTCCTTTAAACAATCCCAAAACTTTCTTTCCCTGGTAAACGGGTGAAGGCCATAAGGAGAAGGACGACCACTGGTGACTGAGTGTACTTACAGAGGCAAACTTCCTTAAAAAAATTAAGAAATTACCTCTTAAATTCTTGTTGAGATGGTAACTGAATTTAATTTCAGTCAATGAATTTAACTGTGTTTTGTATTCTTTCTTTTTTTTATAAGCTTCATGTGTGTAATTACACATATTGGTTGTCAGGGCAGTCTTGACAGTGTATAAAGGCATTCACTTTTTCACTCAGATTATTTGTTTCTGTTGCAGAGAGCATGAAAGGCAGAGCCATATTGGATTTCTGACTGCAAGTGAACTTTTAAGGATGCAATAATTCTTAAGAATTTCTGCCGTTTCATACAATGCTGAATAACAAATCCATCTTTACCCCTACACAGTAGTCATTTCAGGGTCCATTAACATATCTGTAGTATGCTCTTTACTGAAATCTATGATTGAAAACCATATTTTGCAAATCACTGCTTATGTTCTGTTTCTGAGGCGTAAGTTGCTAACTCTACTACTTGCAAGTCAGTATTGGTGGAATGTCCACCCAAGTAATGACTTAAAAGGTGAAAGACAAATTACAACCTTAGGGAGTACTGGATTTTGTTATCCCCCATACTCCATTATGTGCCTTCCATTCCTGCACAGTCTTATGGTCGAGTCTCAAGGGACTCCATGGTAAGGGAAGTCTGTTACTGCTTGAGCGTTATGCTTTACTGTGCTTTTATGCAGAAAATGAAGTTTCTCAGGGTGTGTGCATGCAATGTGAACATATTCAGATCAGTGTAATGGCTGTCTGAAACAAATAGCTATATAGCTGCCTTAGTAGTAAATAACTTCTTACTTGTAATGTCTGAATAAATTAATTCAATTTTGAATTACCTTTTTTCCTTATTTATTTATTTATTTATTCATTTTTAGGAACGAGTTAAGTCTGTGTTCCATGCCAAAGAATTTGGAAAAATTATTAATTTTAAAACTCCAGAGGATGCTAAGGTAAAGTCAAGATACTTTTTACAATTTATTGTAACAATATTTACAATTAGTGTTACAATAAAATTATTGTACAATATTTTACAGTTATAATTACAATTATTCTGTGCTAAATTTGGCTTAAAAAGTGAAACAGAAATATTCTTAACCTGAAATAACTATGTTTATTTAAAATTCAGCATTTCCACACAGCCATGACACAAATGGAAATGGCAATGCTATCTTCAGTACTGAATTTAAAAAATACTCAAGTACCAAACTTTTCACTTCACTATAAATCTTCAAAGTCATAACTGTCAAACAGCTGATTTAATAGTACTACTAACAAAAACTAAGCAATCAAGAATGTGAATTAAAATAGGGTGTTTTAATAGAACTAACGATATTTGTAAGTTACTCTTAGTTTTATTCCAGGTGGATGAGGAGATGAGGTGTCATTCCTCTTCCTCATTATATAGTTTTTGTTGAAGAAAGAAGAAAATCCCTAATAGAAACACAAATATTTTTATTTTATATGATATATGGCCTCTTCATTTTGATAATCACTAGTTTTGACTACAATAGAGAGGAGGAGTAGTTCAGGTCTGCTACCAGAACACTGAGGTAGTTGGGTTGCAAAAGTTCTGCTTGATTCTTCTTAGCGTAGCTAATTATTTTCATAAACAGTAAATTAGTCATGTATACATTCATACCAGTGGGATATAATACTACAAGATCATGCTTTGAAACAGTCTGTGAAAGTTGATCCTCTCATTAGTTTGTTTTGCACATTTTCATCTGCTTTTGTCTTCATGAGCATAGTTTCTAACCACAGCTGGGTTATAACATTTGACTGTTACCTCAAAAAGCATTACAATTACTGTCAAGGTATTTGAGGTCCCCGTGCTGAATTTGACTTGTCTGTACTCTTTGGAGGTACTGAGCTCTTCTTCAAATTATTATTATTGTGTAGTTTTTTTTTTTTAAATTGACAAGCAGTTATTCTTTATTGCAGTGCTGGGAGACACAGGGGATGGCTTCTCCTAGCATGTCTCAGCCAAACCTCAAATAGACTAGTCAAATTGTTGCTTAACATACATATTCATTAACCATTAACATACATCATGCATACTCATTAACCATCTGAGAACCTCTTTACGTAATTCCATGCCCATTTCCACATGCGCACAACAATGTGGTAGTGGTCTTTGTTGGAAGAAGTAAGTGACCCCCAGTCTTCATCACTTTCTGCGATCTTTGAAGCATGCGCACTAGATAAATGCTTACATCATCTTAACTGGTTTGGTAAAACTGCAGACATAATCATCCCGTCCTTCTACTTATCAGTTAGCATAGTCACCAGCACATCCTGGATATCTACTAGTTTCAGATACTCTTTATCAACACTTCCTGTTTTTCTGTCCTGTTTTTCTTACAGTTATTTTTGTACTAAGGTCATACGCCAACTGCAATGAATTATCTTATACAAGGATTCTTATTAAGTCCTTTGGCTGTATTCTGACTAGTTTTTGTGAAACATTCACCTGAGTTACTTTCCATAGCTACTGTTACAAAGCCATCGAACTGAACTTACTTACTTACAAAAGATGATGTTTCATTTTGTACTTCCTTGTCTCAAGTAGTCTGTGTGGGTATGAAATCCCATCTGTGCCCCAGCTAAATCAGGAGTAATTCCAAAACTCCAATTAGTGCATTATATTATGTATGCTGTAAGTCTTAAGTTTTTCAGCTTTATTTCCTTTCTTATCTCAAAACTGTTGGCTTGCACACTTTCCTAGAAAAGCCCATGAACCTCACAAAACCAACAGGAATGTGAGTATGAAGGGAAATGTCACTGTCAGACAGGCTTGGTAAGGAATGTGGTTTTATCTTAGAGCAGCAATCCTTCCCTAGGAAACTCATTAATAGAAAGTTTCATTCAGAAATTGATATCAGGGCCTTAGGGGATATGCTTCAGAAGGAAGTCTTTTGAGAGTTGCTTCTGGGTTTTGTTTATACTGTGGCTTAATTGTGCAAATGTGACATCTGTGCTGTGTATACAGAGAGATGACATTGATGGAAGTGTTCTAGGAGTAGTGAAGATGAAACTTGCACCTTAATAGTGAGGAGGTTATGAGGTAATTTCAGTGACACTGCATTGTGAACATTGCGATCGTGAGATGGTCGAATCTGAGATCCTCAGGACAGTGAGAAGAGCGTGCAACTAGCTCACTGCCCTGAACTTCAAGAGTGCAGACTTTGGCCTCTTCAGAAACCTGCTTAGTAAGGTTCCATGGCATATAGCCCTAGAGGGCAGGGGGCCCAAGACTGTTGGTTGATAATCAAGGATCACCTACTGCAAGCTCAGGAGTGTTGCATCCCAAATAGAAGGAAGTGCAGCAGGAGGGCCAGGAGACCTCCTTGGATGGATAAGGAGCTGCTGAGGAAACTCTGGGAGGGAAAGAAAGGCTTACAAAAAGTGGAAGCAAGGACAGGCGGCCTGGGAAGAAAACAGGGATGTTGTCCAGGAAGCTAGGGACCAGGTTAGGAAAGCTAAGGCCCAGTTAGAATTAAACTTGCCTAGGGATGTGAAAGATAACAGGAAGGGATTCTGGAGGTACGTAGCAAATAAAAGACAGACTAGGGAGAATGTAGGCCCTCTCTGGAAGCTATCAGGAGAACTGGCTATATGGGATTTGGAGAAGGCTGAGGTTCTGAATGACTTCTTTACCTCGGTCTTCACTGGCCAATGCTCTGACAGCACCACCCAAGTCTTGGAAGACAGAAGCAGGGACTGTGAGAATGAAGACCTTGGGCCCACTGTAGGAGAGGATCTGGTTCGAGACCATCTTGAAAATCTGAACGTGCACAAGTCCATGGGACCTGATGAAATCAATCCACAGGTCCTGAAGGAGCTGGCAAATGAAGTTGCGAAGCCATTGGCCATCATATTTGAGAAATCATGTCAGTCAGGTGAAGTTCCCGATGACTGGAAAAAGGGAAATATAACCCCTATTTTCAAGAAGGGGAAAATGGATGACCCAGGGAATTACAGACCAGTCAGTCCCACCTCTGTGCCTGGCAAAATCGTGGAGCAGATTCTCCTGGAAGGCATGCTAAGGCACATGAAAATCAACAAGGTGCTTGGTGACAGCCAGCATGGCTTCACTAAGGGGAAATCCCACCTGACCAACTTGGTGGCCTTCTATGATGCGGCTACGGAACTGATGGAAAGGGGTAGAGCAGTTGGCATCATCTACCTGGACTTGTGCAAGTGTTCGACACTGTCCCACACGACATCCTTGTCTCTAAATTGGAGAGACATCAATTTGATGGATGGACCACTCGGTGGATAAAGAACTGGCTGGATGGGTGCACGCAAAGAGTTGTGGTCAATAGCTCAGTGTCCAGCTGGAGACCAGTAACAAGTGGCGTCCCTCAGGGATTGTTGTTGAGAATGGTCTTGTTCAACATCTTTGTCGCTGACATGGACAGTGGGATTGAGTGCGCCCTCAGCAAGTTTGCCAATGACACCAAGCTGTGTGGTTTGGTTGATATGCTGGAGGGAAGGAATGCCATCCAGAGGGACCTTGACACGCTTGTGAGGTGGGCTGATGCCAACCTTATGAAGTTTAACCATGCCAAGTGCAAGGTCCTACACCTGGGTCACAGCAATCCCGGGCACAGCTACAGGTTGGGCAGAGAAGAGATTCAGAGCAGCCCTGCAGAGAAGGACCTGAGGGTGCTGGTCGATGAGAACATGAGCATGAGCTGGCAGTGTGCACTCACAGCCCAGAAAGCCAACGGTATCCTGGGCTGCATCAAAAGGAGCGTGACCAGCAGGTCGAAGGAAGTAGTCCTGCCCCTCTACTCTGCTCTCGTGAGACCTCACTTGGAGTATTGTGTGCAGTTCTGGTGTCCTCAACATAAAAAGGATGTGGAACCTTTGGAACAAGTCCAGAGGAGGGCCACGAGGATGATCAGGGGACTGGAGCACCTCCCGTATGAAGACAGGCTGAGAAAGTTGGGGCTGTTCAGCCTGGAGAAGAGAAGGCTGCATGGAGGCCTCATAGCAGCCTTCCAGTA